CTATAATATAAGTATAAGCCCTCTTGATATCGTTGAGTCTTATTCTTCTGTGTAAGTTGTTTAAAACATATCCTATCAATTTGTATTGATTCTCGTCTTAATGAATAAGTTTATGAAAACTTGGGAGTTGCCATCATTATTTGATTTGTTATTCTCTAGCCAAATCTTTGTTTTTGACATCTTTCAAATAATTAATTATTACATGCAATGACTTGAGGAATAAATTATTCAAAAAATTCTACCTTTAGCATTGTCAATAATAAATCTTTGATATTTTCCTTCAATTCATATTAAAATTGATTGATAAGAGCTTTGTCATTCTAGTTAACATTGTCAGATTTGAGAGAATTTGCCTTAAAAAAGCATTGGGCTTCACGTTGTCACTAATTGCTCAACTAAACCTCAAGATAAAAAAATACAAAGTTTATATATAAAATTGCCCCTATAGAGGCAATTACATAAATACATAAGTCATAAGTACCAAAGATCACCAAAAATGTAATAAAAATATTATAAAATATTGTATATCCCTAAGGTGATCTTTTCTTGAACTTCAACAAGTCATATCTCATGATTGGACCATCCAAATAAATCCAAATTTTATATAAAGTATTGATGTACTTTTAATAAGTACTACAACAAATTTCAATTAGAAATTTTTTAAATCTTTAGATATTGCCAAAATTCAAATAGTAGCTTTAAATCCTTGCTAATATACATCTGTGTGTAAATTTCTTCATATCTCACAAAATAAGTACTCAAACACTATAAAATTTTGATATATTGCTTTTTAATCTAATAACACACTTCTAAAAATTTAAAGCCAAAAATTCACCTAAAAACTCAAAATATGGTTCCAACCATTACTATCAACAAAATGACCTACTTATTACCTTTGAATTACATATACTGTCTTCAATACTCTATAATGTCTTTGTACAAACTCTAAATACAAAAATTCTTTCTTATGAAATATATATATCTTAAAATTATCCTTGTGGTGGCTCCTTTTAATCTCCAAAATCTATCATAAGACTCCTTGTATATTCAAAATAATAATAGTATATCTTAAAAAGACACCTTAACTTCAAACAACTATAATTTTATCACCTTACTTCCAAATCTTCTAAAATTTGCACATAAATTGTAGTCCAAATCCTAAACCTTACAATCTTTAGTTTTGATTCTCAAATGCCTCTTTTGAAGTTGCCAAAATCCTTGTTATGATTGTAGATAGCCTGTTGAATTTCTATTGGGCATGGACTTTGACCAATAGGAATAAAGATCTCTACTTTTAGCCTTCATCCATCCATACCTTACTTTTATCCCTCCAAATAAGCTTCTTAGAGATTTGAATCTTTATCTTTGAGACCCAATCTTCTCCTTAAATTTTATATTAAATATTTGAATCTTATATATTTCAAACACTATAATCAATATAAGTAAACCTCAAAATAAATTTTCTTACATCAACTCTCTTTAAATTAACCTACTTACCACTCTAAAGTATGTCAAGACTTATAAATATATTATCTATTTTAGTGAATTTATACATACTATAAATAATTAAAATATAAAAATATTATAAGTGAGGCTTTCTAATTCAATAGCATATATGGTGGCTAATCATGATCCTTGCCATAAAAATAAGAGCCTCATCACTGCCATTCTTTCTCAAACACTATTTTCAAATGTGGCCATATATGCTTCTTAAAATAAATTCAAATCATAAAGGAGTTACAAATCTTTTTTTAATTAAAGTTTAAAACTAAAAGAGAGCACTTAGTGATAGAAGTGTATCTATAAATCTGACTTGAGTAAATCCATTAGGATATTGGAAGGGATTCATCCTTAGATAAAGCTTGACTTATTGCAAAAATCCTTAAAATTTTGATCTTCTTCCATCAAACTTCTCAAGCATATTAATCCTTGTCCCCATCATACTTGTAGAAACAAAACTTCATAGATTTGGTTAAGAGGTTAATCTGTTTGTTTCCTCCAATTGCATAATTCTTTACTATAGACTTTGAACTTCTTTGATATGTATAGGAATAGTACTTCCATGATTCACGTTAGAAATATGTGAGATTTCCACTCACAGAGTATTGACAAGCTCATGAAGTTTTGTGGTAGTTGCAAATCTATTCTCACTTTTGCTGAAAATAGCATCCGTAATCTTTCCTTCCATTGACAACTCAAATAAATTCAAAAAATTAAAGTAAAAGAAGGTATTCAGCAACTTCTAATACCAAATAAAAATTTTCACAAAGAGAGGTGGTTAATTCTCTTTAAAACAAAGTTCAGTATTAAAAAATATATAGATATATATATATATATATATATATATTAATGATAGGTAGTGTACAACCTTCAAAATATAAAAATAGAAGTGAGATAATTCACTCACTTCTAAAACAAGATAAAATGAATAAATTAGCACACTTGTCAAATTGTCAAGGACATGTATCTCAAAGAAATAAAATCCTTAATACACTCTTGTATTACTAAAAGAAACTAAAAAGTCACTCAAAGATGATATAATTTTGAATTAGAATGGCTATCGCCAAAAACAAGAAGACTAGAAAGTCTCGAAATATGACAAAAGTCTAGAAAGACATTGACAAGAGTAAAGGAGATTTGACTCTTACCTCCATATATACTCTTAATTAGGGACTATGTGGCGATGTCCTATACGACCTCTAAAACGTGTTGACTTTACAGAATACATATTTTAACTTGCAAGGTAAGTTTTTTATATATAAGCTACATAATTAGCTCTTTTTGTAAGCTATTAACATGTCATTAACTTGTTGAGCAAATTTCTAATTAATCAATCAACTATAAATATATGTAAAGCCAAAGCAACATCTATGAAGCTTCTAAAAAGTTATTCTAGAAAGTATTATGATATTAACCTACTTTTATCTATTTTTACCTACTTCTATCTAATTATATAAGTATATACTAGAGCAACTATGTCTATCCGTGGTAGTATTTTACTTAATGACTTTAATCAGTTTGATATTATTCATTAAAGACAAAGTAGATAAGTAATCAAGTTACAATTTTAATTTACTATTTTATATGCATATATATATATATATATATATATATTATAGTTAAAATACTAATAATATATATATATTTTTAAATAATTTAGATTATTTAATTAAATAGAAAAAAAACTTAATTTAGAATTGATGCTTTAAAGTTACTCTCAAAAATAATTTAGATTGAAAGATAAGACTAGAATAATTTCTTTGACTAATGTTTTGAGAGTTGTAAAGAAAAATTACAATAGTTGTTCTAGTTTGACATCCATCTATATTGAATTATGTGAAATAAGATTCTATTTTAGCAATGCAATAATAGATGAGAACAATAGATAATTATCATTGTTCAAGTGATTAAAAAAATATAAAAGAATAAAATAATTTATATTTTTTCATATATTTTTAATAAATAAAAATATTATATATTTTTATATATTAAAAATATAATTATGAATGTATAATAATTTTTATTTAAATCTTAATTTAAAGTTTAATCTAAAAATATATATTATATATAAGCAAGTATTTAAATTATATTATTTATTATTATTTCTTATAATATTTTTTAATAAATTTTAGAATTTAAATCTTCTATGTTTATAGGATAATTTGAATACTTTTTAATTCTTAATAACATACATATAATCTAATAATATGATGTAGTTTAAAAATGAATTAATCATAAAAAATCATATATATATGAATATAAATATAAATTTATGTTAAATATTGATTGTAACTTAATCAAAATAAAAATGTGATAATAAATAATATGTTTAATCATTTATTTTAAAATATTAGATATTATTACTTAAAAAAATTATAAGTCCTAAAATTAAGAGTGTCTTTTTTGATTGTTAAAGGTGCCTCTAGCCATCAACTTTAAAAGATCTCACAAGAAATTTCTATATTTTTAAAAATAATTGTCTTATGGAGCTTTAATTTAAGGATCTTCATCTCTCTTTTGGTTCTTTCTATTGTGTTTTTTTTTTTTTTTTTTTTTTTTTTTTCTTCTTCTTTTCTTTAATAATTTTTACTTCTCTTTAAAGGTTTATAAGAGGTAATCCTTACCTTATAGTCGACCTATCTTTGGGTGCCTATTTTTGTTTGTTCAAACTCTCTTAGAGAAGCATAAGTGATAAGACCTAAGGTGTTTGGCTATCCTCTTTCTTTGTCCTGTTTTTAGATTTAAAAGTCTGAAATTCGATTGGATCTATTAATAAATAATAACTTGGATAATATATATATATATATATATATATATATATATAGAAATTAATTATTTTAAAGCATGTTATATGAATTCCAATCTTATCACTACCAAATAGACTATTAATTAACTTTGATGGAGAAGATTACAACACAAAGCAAAAAATTGCTTATTGTTTGCAAAAAGAACTATTGCAGTAATAATTAGCATTCAAATATTATAATTGCAATGAAAATCTATACTTTTAATAAATATTACTTCCTTTTGTTGCACATTTTTTTTAAATATATATCTATATATATATATATATATATATATATATTCATTATTCATAACATCATATAAGTTTTTATATTTTTAATATAATATAATATTTATTATATAGAAATTTTTTTCTTTCAATATCTTAATCAAAAGATTTTTTCTAAAATTGGAGCACATAGATCCATGTTGTAGGTTCAAATTCAAATAGATGTAAATGTTATAAATTTAAATAAATTTAATTTTTATAGATTCACATTATCTTTTATAAAAATAAATCATTAAATTTAATTTTAATATCTTATATACTTTAATTATATAATTAAATACAACTTTGCACACAATTCATTATTCAATTCTACATAATGAACTATCTAATTTTAGTAAGATCTCAATTTTAAACAAATAGTTTTTATTGGCTATATGAAAACTATTCATTCAACAACAATATTCTACGCACGCCATACATGCCGAGATTTAATGCTAAATCCACAAGGCAGAATTACAGTTTTATTTGTCACAACTTGTACATACTTGAGCGACTATGTAGCCTCTGCAACTAATTTCGTACATCCACTACATATGCATCCATCCACTCATCCATAATCCAGCAACAATCCATTCATCCACTGGTCGAAGTATTTTTAAGCTGTGGCGTCGGAAGAGGCCACCAGTTGTGTCGGTGGATTGCTTGCGGTGAAAACGGTTGCGCACAAGCCGAATTCTGTGTTGCGTTGATGATGTTGTGTGCATACAAACGATGGTAGGGACCACGCCTAGAAAAATCAGTGTCACGATGCGAGCTCCGACTGTCTAGGAGAATAAAACCCCTGCAACTTGGATCAGTAAGAATGGTCTTCTGGGTTAGATAATGGTACACTAGCGAGACCGCTGGTGGTGGCCGCTTCGATGGATCGACAGAGTCCATGATTTCGTGGACATGGATTCAGAAGCTGGTCTCAGTGCGGAACATCACCACGCAATCCTGCCGGCTCGTCCAACCATTGGATTCGGGGTCTTACATAGCCTCCTCCTTCTGTCTCGGCGCCTCAGTAATTCACGGGCCTGTAAAACTTGATCATGGGACAGTGGGATCGAACACTGGACTGGGGTTTGCTACTGCAACGGTATCCCCATAGTCAGATTCTATGCTCACTAGCTCCTTTCGGAAGCGAACCCATTCCTTTTTCTTGCCGGCGTTTGTAAACGTTGACACCTGTTAACATCCGCAGAATAAACAGTTAGGACCAGTGCCGTAATGCACATAGAAAGTTATTACAAAACGGGGGTCGTTTTACAGCCCGAGTAGAATGTAATAGGACTTACCATATCGTGACCAGACTCTAGTCCATTCCAGTTCGATGATCGCCTCTCAAATTCATCTTGTGCTTCGGTCAAGATCCTATCTGAGACAATAAGAGCAAAATTCACATGAGTTAGTCAGCATCGTATCGTTGCAGAATCTACTAACGGTCTTCTGAGCTCGATGGAAAGTGTCATCCATCTTGACATCGTGACGAAGATTGCAAACTAAGTAAGAAACGCAGACACGGCAGGATAGTATTTCCTAAAATGCACGCTTGGCTAGCAAGTTTCTTAGTGCTAAGCCTTCGACTGAATGGTTATTGACAAAGACCGAAATGATAACGGCTAATCAAGTGACGTGACCTTTCCCATTCACATATCTGGCTCCAATATTTCTGAGGCAGCGCCTATGATAACGACCTGGTCCCTTATACAGATGTTGCGCAACTAACCATAGGATCGGATAACCTCCTGTTCTTCTGCTTCGATTCAAAGGGAATTCTGACCAATATTGTAATCCACTTGTGTCAACCTCAACGCACCCGATATTCATGTGCCGAGAACAATTCTCAGACTTATCATATGCCTACCATAATTCAATGTCCAGTTGCTAGAAGTTTTCTCACAAAAGACTGAGTTGGTCACAAGGAACTCTTATCAACAATTCATTACCTGAGTCTCGCAGGGTTCGTGCAGCTCTGCAGGGCGGCACTAGTACCGACGCGACCACCAATGTGCACACCAACGTCGCCAACATAGACACGAGTAGAACCCTCTTCATCTCAGCTCTTCGAAACCGATTGCATACCAAACCCAACGCTGCCGGATTTCGGAGTAGTGCAAGGTCGGCGGATCAAATGTCAAACCCAAGAGCTGCTTTCTTTCAAACACAGCGGCACCCAGCGGAGCTAATGTCAATGGCACAAGCAGGTCATTTTCACTGAATTCTGCTTCCGAGTCGGACTTGTTTGCCGAAACATCTCAAAGGATGTCACAGAGCGGCGCTTAATGTTGATGAAAACTTCACCATGACCATAGCGGCTTCTTTTGGTTGAGCGCACGCCGAAGGATGTCAAAGTAGTTGCTAATAAAAGTATCATAAAGGAAACCAAGGTGGTGGTTACTTGTGTGACTTGATTTAAAGCATTGAAGAGGACGGCGGTTGGATTCTATTCCAGATCCATAGCGCGATTATGTCAAAGGGTGTACCCTCCATAATACGAAAAAAAACAAGCAGTTCTCAAGTCACCAGTCATCCACCAACGCACCATTGGACACGGAAAACCATTTTAGAAGTCAACACACGCCAATCACGCGAAATCGGTCTCGATGGAATGATTTATAAATGTCAGTGTCTGGAACCAGTTCACCCTCGAGGATGCATTAACCGTCAACATCGAATGCAACTTTTCTTGGATGGACTGACAAAGGACCACGTAACCTCCATATTGGCAACAAGGTCGTCGAAAAGATTACATTACCTCGCTGACTTTGGGTTTGATTGCGTCGTTTCACTGAAGCACGGATTCTGGAAAGATTCACCGGCGCGCAATAAATGTATCATGCCTGATTTCATGCTCACAAGTTGCTGATATTTTGGGATTTGGAAAGTTGAAACAAGCATATCCATTATATCAACACCCGCTGCTGCGGAGTGTGTCGAGGTCATTTGACCGACAATCATTTCTGCTTCTTCATTGATCTTTCCCACGAAACTGATTGAGCCTTTCACCCCAACCCTAAAAGATGCCCGAAGAAATGGTTTTGTGAGTAACTCTCATAAAGCAGCGAGAAGCACGACTGCTTTGTATGATTACCATCACAATTTTGCATTTTACTCAACAGGAAAGGTAGAAGTATTGTGCTGGGTGAGAAATGGTCCTACCATGATCAACGGAACATGAAGTTCTATGATCTGCTAAATTCACTGTAATATCTGCAGTAAAACAATGGTGACTTGACTTTGCACCTGACATGCAGTGGCTACCTTTGTACATTGAAGCATCTGCATCTCACATGTTCAAGTAAATAAAGCGAATCTCCCGAAGGATTTAGTTCAGTCAGTTTCATTCTGATTAACCGAAATGCAGCTTTGTGCATCTAACTTTGCATTTCAGCCGCCTTGACAACATGCAAAAGTTAGAAGTTTGTTTGTTCTCATTGAACGTTGAAACTTGTGAGAAAACTCAAACACAACTCTGTCACTGATCGTTGTTGAAGAAGAAGTCCATGCAGCAATATTACTTTGGTAAGTACCCACCTTTGAAATATTCATACAAAATTTAGAAATTATTATTCAAATGATGTTTCTTGATAGAAAGAAATAAGAAGTTTTGTAGAAGTACATCATCACAAAGTGATAAGGTCATCCAAAAGAGAGCCAACTCATCAACTTGCAAATATTCCTTATCAGTAGGATAAACTTACAATTTGTTAGAAAAATCCCAAATTAATACAGAATAATATGGAAGCAACTCTAAATAGCAATGTTGTATGTAAATAAGTACTTTTATGTGCATTAATCAATGTAAACACTTTCTTCATTCAACATCTTGTGGTTAACATATTGCAATCTATTGTCAAGGACAAGAACTCGATGAAAGCTAAAGAGTAAGTGAGACTTTTCTCAAAAAGAAATAGGACAAAATAGAAATATGTATATTAAGAAAGAAACTGGAATGGCTATTGCCAAAATACAAGAAAACTAGAGACCCTTGAAACTAGACTAGAAGCAAGAAAGGAGTTGACAAGAGTGAAGAGGGCTTCACTCTTGCCTCTATATATACTATCTAACTAGAAGCCACGTGGCGATGTTCTATAAGACCTCCAATATATGTTGACTTTCTAGGCCACATGCCTTTGCTTGCAAGGCAAGTTTTCTATGGATGGACCACGTAGTTAGCTTGTTCTTTAAGCTTCCAACATACGTGGCACATGGCTAACTTGTTGACCAAGTTTCTAACCTAAAAGTCAACTATAGACTCCTATAAAGTCAAAGCAGCATCTATGAAGCTTCTAAGAAGCTTCTCTAGAAGATATTACATAATTAACCTACTTTTACATACTTTTATCTATTCATATAGGTAATTATATGTATGTCCGTGACATTACCCTCCCTTCTAGGGACGAGTTCCACGAGGAGCGGTGACTCTATATTGAGAAAATCTAATATGCGGCGAATTGTATTTGCTACATACTCTGATCTTTGTTCTCTTCGAAGATAGTTGATGGATCCTCTTAGCCATCGATAGTGTCCCATTCCAGGGCGAGAAGACCACCCTGTTATTTGATCACTGTTGAGGCCTTCATAACTTCCTCAATCTTGTCTCTTTTATAAGAGAGGTTTTCATCTTGGTTTTGATGGATGTCGTTGATGAAAAACTTTGACTTTAGCTGATGCATTTGCTAGATTCCTGGATGGCTCCCATGTGCGCTCACTAATATCATATCCGCACCAATGAACAAGATATTCCAGCTTATTTCGGCACCGCCTTGAGTCTAATATCTCTTCCACCTCAAATTCTTCATTATTATCTACTTCTATAGGAGGCGGTGGCATTTGTCTTCTTCCTTGTATATCCACTGTCTTATATGGTTCAAGAAGAGACACGTGGAATACAGGATGGATCTTCATTGACTCCGGTAGATGTAACCGATATGCAACTGGGTTGATCTGTTCAGAAACAGAAAAGGGGCCAAGACTACGATAGTCCAATTTGTCACAAGGTCGAGTGGTCTTGATATTGCGACGAAGTAGCCATACCTTATCACCCACGTTGAGTTGTGGTTGCTCTTTACGATATACATCTGCATTTATCTTTTGTCGTTCTTGAGCTTTCTTCAACTGCGCCTTCATTATTGCATGTAACTCTGACAACCGATTTGCCATATCTTCTGCTGCAGGATTATCAACTTTTGAAAAATCAAAAGTATCAAGTCGTGGATGATAGCCATAATTGGCAAAGAAAGGTGTTTGTTGCGTGGAGGAATGTACCGTATTATTATAAGCAAACTCTGCCAATGGCAGAAGGTTTGTCCAATCATCTTGTTGGTAGTTGATAGTACACCTTAAATACTGTTCCAAGACTTGGTTTACGCGCTCTGTTTGTCCATCAGTTTGAGGATGGAAAGCTGAAGATAGCTTTATGTCCACTTTTAAAATCTTGAAAAGGGTCCTCCAGAATCTTGACACAAATTGAGTTCCCCTATCTGATATGATATCTTTAGGCAATCCATGATAGCGATAGATATTATCAATGAAAAGCTTAGCTGTTTCTTCACCTGTGATAGATTTTGTACATGGCATAAAATGTGCCATCTTGGTGAAACGATCTACTATCACAAATATAGAATCATAAGATCTTGAGTTTGGAAGATCTGTGATGAAATCCATAGAAACAGAAGACCATGGTTGTTCTGGTATAGGTAATGGCTGAAGAAGTCCGTAAGGTCGATGTCGAGGAATTTTTGATCTTGAACAAATATCACATGATTGTACAAAGTCTTTGACTGACTTCCACATTTGTGGCCACCAAAAATCTCTTGATATGAGTTCCAAAGTCTTATTATATCCAAAGTGCCCTGCTGCTGGAAAGTCATGACGTGCTTGAAGAACACGCAAACGTGCTTTTCCTTCTGGAACATATAGGCGTCCTTCAAAATATAATAGATTATTCTTGAACTCGAACTTAGAAGAATCATGAGACTTGGAAGAATTATTCTCGATATCATGAACAAGAGGGTCTGAGGACATACTGGACTGGATTTGCTTGAGAAAAGTTGAATCAACAGTCAATGTTGATTTCACTGCTCGGAGATGAAATTGCTCCGGTTTCAAGAGGACCGTTCTTTGTTGCTCAAAAGCTGCATCTCCTTTTTTTGGTGCAAAATAAGAACGTCTAGACAGGGCATCGGACAAAGCTTGTTGTTTTCCTGGCCGATAAGTGATAATGAAGTCGAATCTTGACAAAGACATACTCCAACGAGCTTGACGACGATTCAACACGTGGCTGACATGAAATACTCGAGGTTCTTGTGATCTGTATACACAATGACTGGACTAGAAGCACCTTCTAGATAATGACGCCATTCTTGAAAAGAATCCACGATTGCAAGAAGTTCTTTATCGTGGATCTCATAATTGATCTCGGCTGTTGAGAATTTTCTTGAATGAAAAGCTATCGGATGAAGTTTGTCATCTGTTCCCATTTGTGATAAAACTGCACCCAAGGCAAAATCTGATGCATCTGTTTCCATAAAAAATGCCTTGAAAAAGTCAACACGATATAAGACTGGTGCAGAGACAAACGATGTCTTCAAGGCTTCAAATGCTGCTTCCGCTTCTTGATTCCATTGGAATTTATCTTTACTAGTCAAGCGTGTAAGTGGAGCTGCAATTCGTGAGAAGTCTTTGATGAAGATCCGATAGTAATTGGCAAATCCCAAGAAACATTGGACATCTCTTACAGTCTTTGGAATCTTCCAATCCATGATTGTTTGGACTTTCTTAGAATCCATCATAAGACCATCATTTGAAATGATGTATCCTAAAAAGTCAACTTGAGTAGTGTGAAATACACACTTTTTCATCTTGGCGTACAATCCTGCATCTCTGAGTTTTTGTAATACTTGACGAACATGTATTTCATGTTCTTCAACATTCTTAGAATAAATCAGGATATCGTCTAGGTAGCAGACGACAAAATTGTCTAAGAATTCACGAAATACATCATTCATGAGATGTTGAAAAGCAGCTGGTGCATTCGTGAGTCCAAAAGGCATGACATTATATTCAAAATGTCCGTACCTGGTTCGAAACGCAGTCTTCCATTCATCTCCTTCTTTGATCCGTACTAGATTATATGCTCCTCTTAGATCTATTTTTGTATAGATCTTAGCTTGATTCAACTGGTCAAGGAGTCGTGATATCAAAGGTAATGGATACCTGTTCTTGATTGTGATCTTGTTGAGTCCTCGATAGTCAACACACATTCGTAAAGATCCATCTTTTTTCTTTACGAATAGAATTGGAGCTCCTGCTGGAGATTTTGAATGGCGTATGAAATTCTTCTCTAAATTCTCGTCAATATATGTCTTGAGTTC